CCCCTTGTCCATGGCTGCCGGCTCTGCCGTGGCCCCCGGCGCTGCCCGCTCACTGAAGCCGCCCGGGTTCGGGGGCAAACATTTAAAGCGCCTTCCGCACCGAGGTTTGAAAAGGCGGCAAAGCATCAAATGAGGCCGAGAACAAAGGACCCCATTGAGAGGCGCTTTAATCTCCCCTTTCAGGTGATTGTTACATCCGCCTAATCTCTGAACGCGGTAGTTAGCAAAACTCAAGGCTACCTGACCTGGCGCCAAGTTCAGCCCTGAGTCATCGCCCTGACCATATAGCTGCTGATAACCGCATCAGGTCCTGCGCTTTTTATCCTGCCCCAGCCGGCCTCAACGCTTCAGCCGCACAGCGATTTCCAGCCTTTATCTGCCAGCTATGGAGGAGAAGGACTCGGAAGGGGCTGGTAACGAAAGAGGACGAAGAGAGGCCACTGTTCTGAGAGCTAGTCCCAGATTTGGAGCCCCATCTCACCTGTTTGAACCAGGGTTTGGAGGAATCCAGTTGCCTTCCTAGCCGTCAAAGGAAAGTGACCCTTGAGGTAGGAACACGTAGGCCTCGAGCCTGGAAGCAGGTAAAAAAAATGACGAAGAAACTGGAATGCTAATATCTTCCTGTTATGCCTAAGGGTAACATGCTGCTCTTTGTCAGGGCAGACAAGGTAGATGTTGTTTGAATTAGGACTTATTTGGAAGTGTAATTTGATACAATTTTTTCATAATTGTGTATGGAGCAAATAGTCCCACATTTAGTCCCACTTCCTCTGAAGTCGAAGCTAAAACTGCTGTTGACTTCAGTGTATCAGAGTTTTAAAGTGGTCCCCATGTAGAGGAGGTCTGAAATTGCATCGTAGTGGCATTTGCATGGCAATTTACTAGGTTGCTTTATACGAAATGGTATCTGAATTTTAAAAATATCTGGTAGACAGGCAGTAGAACGAGTTAATTCTTGGGGATTCATTTAAGAATGATATCAGGCAATAGTTAAATATGTTTCGGGGTATTGGACTTAATGAGAAACACTGCGAAAATGGCTATTTGGCTTAGAATATATCGGCTCACGTCCTGAAACACCCTCTCACCTGCACCCCCTCCCCCCCAAAAAAAAGAAGGAAGAAATGGGTGCATTTCAAAGTAAATAGTTCTGATCTTTTTATAAAGTAGATCAAAGAAGAGGAGTGTAAAGTCTGTTCAGAGGCAATCTGTTCAAGGATGATTCAGATAAGGGTGAGAAAAGAACCACTTTTACGGTCTGAAGTGGGCCTGGGATGGCACAGTCCTTATCCTCTGCAAACACCAGCTAACACATTTACAGGTTGTTTCAGTAAACAGTCGCCACTGCTTGAGTTTATACAGACAGAGATAATGAACTAGCTTTCACGCAGAGATGAACATGTTTGAGACATCATGTTAATTCTTATACTTCAAAGGGATTCATGTCACCTTTTATGAACGGTGATGTATTCGGAGTTAGATGGCAAAAGTCAGATAATACTGCCCTTCCAGCTCTTTTTCCTCACTTTTTATGTTTTTTTTTTCTCTCATAAAATTTAATATGATTTACATGCTCTTTTTGTTAAATGTTTTGAAGCATGGCACAAGCAAGAAACTTTTAGACCCGACTTTGAATGTGCTTCGAACATACATCTGTAGTTAAAAACCTTTTTCCCCCCCTGTAATAAAGAGAAAAACGATTTTGATTATCCAACTGGGCAATCTGTTTTTTTTTTAATTTTCTTTTTTTAGCAGGACCCAACTTCTAGGAGGTGACTCTTTGTACTGTGATGTATAGAAATGACTGAATAGCTGACATTTGTGCTTTAATAAAAAGCTTGTCTGAATAGAGAAACTAGGGATAGTAGTTGCATTGTCTTCATGTGCGTTGCTCTAACTGCGCTCACGGCAATCTACAATTTTGTAAAATTAAGGTCAAGTTAAAAATTATGGTGGTTCCTTTCAAAGAAAAAAACAGGGAAATCTACGGTTCCTTTTTTCTGCATTTACCAGCTGACATCAATAAAAAAGATCTATGATCTTTTAATTCGTGAAAAGACAGAAAGGATGCTGTTGCTAAAGGATACTGTCTCTCTTTCACGATAGTGAAGAGACTTACTCTTGTATCCTTAGTGTAACTCTATGGAAAAAATACTGAGAAGAAATTCATTATTCAGAACGATTTGTCAAAACTGACTGTTGCATATACTTTCAGTCAGTCCGGTGCCTGGTCCTACAAACATCTGAAGAATTTTAAACATGGAATAATAGTTCAATTATTTGAGTTAATCATAAGCGTACGCATTTGCAAGGTTGAATCCACTGATGAGAGAATTTGCTTTGCAAAGAACATGAAATAATTGCTTGCAAACTAAAGCTAATTTCTCCTGGAAAAAGTGGAGTTTGGTCTGAGAAAATGTCAACGTCTAACAATAACATAGTCAATTTCTTAACTGAATTGTTGCAATGTATTTGTGTTACAGATAACATCTAATCTGAAGGGCCACAAGGCATCATTCCTTTATTATGTTATTGTTTTTGCTTGTTAATTATTATTGTGCTTATTTTTAGTAGCTGAACAAGTGTTTTCAAGCAACAAAAGGAGTATCATGTTGGCAATTTTTAAATTTATAGTTTAGATTTAATGGACAATTTTTTTTAAATTCTGAACTAGAGAATTCCAATCATTCATCATCTTATTTCCTGACTATACTGGAAGAATCCATTTTACTGTTTTTAGGAGATAAATTGTAGTTTCCAAAGACACAAGAAACTTGTTAATGTTTTAGAATAGTCCTTCAGGTTCACGCTTTGGTTAGGCTGATGAGGTTTCCTTCGTGCTTTTTTCCATGGGATTGAATCACTTCAGAAAGTCTTTCTTTCTTTTAATGTCCTCTGAAGTGGTTGGGCTTTGAAATTGTCCTCAGGAGGCTAGGAACAGGGATTTCATGTTGCCAGTTCTTTTTGAAAACCAAGTATCTAAAAAAGATCTCCATTGGTCTCATTGCTTTATACCTACTAGTAATAAAAGCTTTCATAGATTTGGAGATTTATTCATAGAATGGCTGTGCGAATTTATGCTGCTGTAGACTTTTTTGAAATGAAACAATTGCTTTAAAAACAAAAAATCTAGTATTTTTAATTTATAATGGTAAAAACCATAGTTTTGGGCTTTGTTTGTTTTTTACAAAAAAGCTGGCATTTCTGCGTTCTGCATCTTCGGTAAATCATCATAATAACAGAGCATTTAGCTTGAGGCAAAGCTCCACATTCAAAGGACTTTGATGGAGTAATTGTAATGCTAAAAGGGACTATCATGTGAGAGCAATTACGATTTAAATGGTCATTGCCGCGTGTTTCTAGTTAGCAATTAACAATTGGCTGATCCTGCGATGAAACATTTACCCCCTTTTTCTTTGGGTATTAGTAATCCCTATAAATGCACGAGCAACAAAGAAAACATGATGACCCCAACTTTGTATGTAAATAGTAGGCTAGAGAACTGTAGTGAAGGTGTAACTGACTCATATTTTGCTGCTGTGATTTAATACCTTTTTCTTGCTTGAGATTTACCTGAAGATACTTGGTATCACTTATGTTTTCTTTTGGTTATTTCAACTTCTTGCTGAAGCAGAGTTATGGAGTGTCTCTTAACAATGGGTATGATTAGTCACCGCATCAGTTGCGATGAAAACCGCAATTTTTCCCTTGGTGCTGGTTTGATTATGAAAAAGATTAAAATGTAGTAACTGTGCTGAGCTTTGTTAGTATGTTAGCAGTGAAAGTATCTAAACAAAAAACACAAAGGGCAGCTTAATTCTGTAATTTGTACAAATTCTGAAGACATTTCTAAAATAAGATGTTATGTACCACCTTCATTTCTACCTCATACAACAGGTACGACTAGCTGAATGAGAT